AAAAAAAAAAAAAAAAAAAAGTAGGATCTTTCTTTCTTATATAGTAATTATATCACACTCTATTACCTCCAAGGAAGGCTGAAGTATTTAATAAACACAAAGTAAAGTTTTGATAAGGCATTTTCTTGAAAGCTTTAGAAATAAGCTTAAGTCTTTTGGCATTAGATTGACAGGCTTTTGTTTTTGTGAAAAAATAGTTTAAAGTTGTATTTCATGTTTTCAGGTTCTCATCCTGTCATAAGAACAATAGAATCTTCAAAGCAGATCTCTAGAATTCACTGTTCTAAGAGATTGCTCCTTACTGTTACTAGTATAATTTTATGGTCTTGTGGCAAGGTTTCAGGTTGAGAAATGAGATTAAATTTGTAGGGGAAGAGTATTTCCTGTTCTTCATTTGTTTCCTGAGGAATGCTTACCCCTTTAGCCTCAAATGTGCTGTAGTATTAGCTATTTTAAAATAGATTGCTTAAGACTCTGAATTTGGAAAACCTTAAATATGCATCATGATGTTTTACTTGCAATAGAAAACTTGGCTACAATTATATATAAAATAAAGCATTACAGCTACTGACAGATGTCACTAGCAACTTACTGAAAAACAGATCCTTCAAAAAGAAAGTGCTAGAATCTGATTTAGAGAGTTAAGTCAGTATAGGTGGAGATAAAATCCTGTTGTCCAGTGCTTTTTTTTTTAACTTTAAAAAAGTGTTTAGACTTTGAGATATTTGATATAATTTAAAAATTTTTTCTGAATCACAATGACTAAATGTAAAGGAATGTGGTAAATAGAAAATCACAAAGCAAACACTCCTGTAATAATGGTTGCAGGTAAGATTCATCAATTGATGCGAAAAATGGTGTTGAAGTTTACAGAGTGGAATATGTGCATAGTATAAAAGTATCTTCCTGAAGCATTTAATATTTACAGCAGAAAATTAATAATTTTATGATGAAGGATGACAGACACTGAGTGATCAGAATTAGTATCACTAGTAGTAAGACATTAACATCAAATATAACATGATCTGCCAAAGAGGGTATGATGTTACTTATATGATCTTACAGAAATGTATAACCTTCCTGTTATCATGAGGAAACAAACTCAAATTGAGGAACTTCTAAAAAAAAAACTGGTATTCTTCAAAAACACCATGGTCATCAAAGACAAGTATTTATTGCACTTTACAGAAAAGTAAAGGTACACTAATGTGGGATCCTGGATGTGATTTTCATATAGAAACAAAGAAAGGTATTAGTTGCCAGGGATTTAGCTCATTGGTGCTGCAACCTGCCTTGCCAAGTGCCAAGGTCCTGAGTTCAATCTCCGCTACCAAAAAAAAAAAGGTATTAGTAGTGTAACTGTGACGTTTGAGTAAAATTTGCAGTTTATTTAATAGTTGAATCAGTGTTGATTTTTGGTTTTAATAACCAAAAGTAAGGTATGTATGATATCATTAGAGGTCATAGTTGAGTATGTAAGGATTTTGTACTATTTCAGTTTTTCTGTAAGTATGAAATTATTTTAAAATAAAAAATGTCTTTATTTAGGAAATTTAATATATTCTCACATTCATCCTGTGCTACTGTAAAGGTTCTTCCCTATTAGAATTATTATCTGGTTTTAGACATATTTACGCTTGATGAAGTTCAGGAGAGACTATTTCAATACATTTTGCCCAATATTTTGTTTCTAACCACTATTTGTTATTTAATTTCTCAGTTGTTTAATATCACTTGTAGAGATACCTGAGGGTAATGTTTGTATAGAGATGTTGATTGATCTCTACTGTAGTTTGTGGACAAATGTTAAGAAAAATTTGAGGACTAGAAATAACTGACAGGGCCAGGGATTTAGCTCAGTGGTGCTGCTGCCTGCCTTGCAAGCACAAGGACTCAGTTTTGATCCCTGCTACCACAAAAAAATAATAATAATAAAAAGAGAGATGACTTACAAATTAAGAATGAGTAAAATGAGACATTAGAAGATGTGCCCATGTTGTTGAAGATGTTCAGTATAAATTATACTGTGTTCCAAAATTTTTGTCTTTTTTCATAAAAACTATTTTAGATGAGTTTCAGCTATTAAGAAAGAAATCTCACTGGTGCCTGGCAAAAGAAACTTTATTGAAAAACCACATCATCTTTAATAAATGGAATACTGCTCAGCCATAAAGAATGAGAAGTTAGAGTCATTCATAGGAAAATGGATACATACTGAGGATATACTCCTAAATGAAATAAATAAGTCACACATATATAAATACCAAATAGTTTCTCTGGTGTGAAAGACTGTAATGGTACATAAGATCCTAAGGATATAATTGACCATGTGAAATAGGAAGAAAAGGGCTAAAGGTATAAGGGAAGTGGGAGGGGGAGGGGAAAGGTAATAAGGGAAAGGAAAAAATACCATGAGAAAATGGAAAAATGGAAAGAAAGTATTTGTAAGTGGGGAAGGGAGGGCAGGGATAAGGGGAAAAAATGAGAACCAAGACCTGTCATGTAAAGGTACAAGGTCCCAATGATGACTGTAACTACTGTACACCTGAAATGTACCAATAAACTCAATGAGGAAAAAAAAGAAACTTTATTTTTTGTTAAATACCTAGCACTGTAGTGATTGTAAGTTAGACCCATTTGTAGTCTATCTATAGTACCACTATCTGTATATGGAAACCATTAGTTTTTCAGTACAGTAATACCTCTATTCGTGAACACTTCTATTCACAAACATTTTGATTCTCAAAAGCATTGGAAAAAATTTTGCATCCTTCTACAAACTCCATCATCGATAGCAAACAGGACTGAGGCCATAGCCATCTTCCCCACACAAACACAAAGTCAATCATCTTCCTCAAAAATCATAAAACAAATTGAGTTTGAGTTTGTAAATTGAGATACCACTGTACTTAAACAGTGAAGATTTATGCCCCTCTACTTTCGAACACCACAGTTGAATCTAGGTATCAAGGTCAGAGACTCTTTTTTTCGCCACCTTTCCATCTTGAATATGCCTGGTAATGAATAATTTTCTTAATGAATAAATACTGAAGACTGTGTGAGGTGGATTTCTACATACATTCAAAATTCAGGTATCTCCAGTCCTCCAACCTTTAAAGAAGTAGATTTGGTTAGCCCACTTTAAACTGTAAAAATAATCATGTGCAATAAGAAAAAAAAATCATGTGCAGTTTGTTGGGAATAGAGGAAGGTTAACTTTTTCCACATTTAAGTACCTAAGAATTACTAAATACTTAAGAATGTACCTACGAACTAAAATAGAAGACTTTTATTATTTTGCTGCTTTTTATTAGTTTCTAAATAAATCAGTAAAGCTGAATGGATAAATTATGATTTTATTTGTTTCCTTTGTGTAATAGAGCTTCATATTAAGAAGTATATGGTTTTAATTTTATAAAGTATTTTTTTAAAAACCTGAGGATTTAGGTCCTAGTACTGTCAGATACTAACCTTGTGACCTTGAGCAAGTCAGTTTGTCTTAATGTTTTTCTTGTCTATAAAATATTGATGCTAAGCATAATTCTTTACTCCATGTGATCTGTGAAGATTACATTTGAAAATGGACAATACACAGTATAGTAGCACCTAGCACTGGGGCAGGTTGTCCCACTTTAGATTTACTGTGATTGGTGCCTCTGATTAAATGAGGAAATACCTCTGAAAGAGTGGTGAGTTGAAGTACTAGAAGAATAGGAGTTTTAACAAATGTTGAAATATTAAAACATAGTTAACCCAGTTATGTATGCCATTTTATAGGATTTTTGTATAGATTACCCAAAATCTGTACACTAAACTATTTAAGTCTTATTCAGTAAGTTAATATTACCTGAATTTAGACCAATAAAAAAAGCAATACTATATAATACTATTTGTGAGCAACAGATTTTAGGCTATTTCACATCATTTCTTTTTATTTTTGTATATGGGAAAAAGCCATTAGTCTGCATTTATAATCAGGACTAGCTTCCTGTAAATATATTTATTTTAACTTTTTATTTATAGATTTTGAAATTTACAATTCTAAATACAGCAATAGTTAGGCACTGCATTTTTGCAGGAAACAAAAAAGCACAATTAACAAAGTCAGAGCCAGCCACAAATGAAAATATTCAGTAAACTGTTTAAGGAAAAAAAAACTAAGAAAAACTCTGTGAAGCAGATGCCAAGAAATATTACATAGGTGCCCTTACTACATTGTAGAGAAAAGAATATAGTTTAGAAGGAGGAGTGGGAGAAAGACAGGTAACAAATAATATTGTTTGAGCACTTACTATTAGGCACTTTTCTAAGCACTTTATGCCTATGATATTCTTTAATCATTTTAACTACCATATAAATTAGAACACCACTTTACAGATGAAGCAGCTGAGGCTCGGAGAGATTAACTAGGTTTTCCCAAAATCTTCAAGCCAAAATTCAGAGTTTTTGGCTTTAGACTACATGCACACTGCCTCCATGAAACCATTAGCCACCATCTACTCATGCAGAGAATGTGGTTTGTCTGTTTTTTCCTGAATATTGTTTGGGATTCTCTTGCACCAAGGATGTGAGTTAGTCTTTTTTTTTTTTTTAGAACCCACAGAACCCCTGGAGCCTTGAAATAATTCAAGAATACCTCAGTGGTAAGCATACTGCTTTCCTACATGCATTTTTAAAAAATATTCCATATCTATGTAAAATATATTATTACATATGATAATTTCATTTATCTGCTTCTTTCATTGTGCAATTGTCAAGGTATATAAATAGATGTAAGAAAAGGGTAGAAAAGGTAAGGTATGGGTATAGAATTATATATCCCTGATTTTTTTCCCAAATACTGAGGATTGAACCTAGGCCATTCATACTGAGCTGTATATCCTGACCCCCATTTTTTTAATTTAAAAGATTTTTTTTTTATATTGAGACAGGGTCTTGTTGAGTTGCCCAAGCTGAGTTTTAACTTGGTGGTGTGGCTGTTAGCTTTTCAGAGTGCTGGGATTACAGATGTGGGTTACCATACCCAGGCTTGTGTCATTGATTATTAAGGCAGGGATTGATTTAGAATTTTTATAATTCCTGGCAGAAAACTCTATACCTAATACAAGCATTTGATTTCTCTAATAGTATTTGTGGGGGCTTAGTATCTCATTGGTTGAATTAGAATTATTCTAGGTTTTTTGTTTTATCCTAAAGTCCCAGGGCGTAACTTTAAAATTCTGAAAAGGATCTTAAGAAATTAGTATTTTGGGTGGAAGATTTTGCTAAATTTGAGATTCCCTATTACAATTTAAAAATGTGTGTGGGATACTTTTTATTACTTAGTTCATATAAACTAATTCTGGCTTTTTATCTGGCCAAGATAGGGGTCAGGAGAGACATGTTGTGGAAATGTGGAATTTGGAATTGTTATTCTAGTGGACTCAACCCCTATTCCTTGGATCTTGTTATACTACTCTGTACCTATTTCACCTTTGTCTTTGAGGCCAAGAAAAAGTCACTTTGTCTTAACTTTGTCTTAACTGTGCAGTCAGCTCAGTGTAGAATAGAGGATGGATAGCATGTATCATTTGTAACTCATATCCATCCCTTATGCATATGGATGACAGCAGGTAATTGCATACTTTACTTTCTTGCCTAGGCATACTATGGTTTTATTATTTTCCCTTTGTGGTGAGAAGTTTTAGTGTGAGTGAAACCTATTTGCTATTTCTGGAATAGAGAATTTGAGATGATTACCAAAATTGGTGCACTTTTTTCCTTCATGTCTAGGATTTAATGTAACCCATATTAAGAGATCTTACTATCTGAGGTTGGTAAGTGTGCAGTAGCCTTCTAAGTATATAAAATACACTTGAGTTTATAACAATAGCTCCTTAAACCACACCCCTTTCCAGGAGTATTCTGATAGGAAATCTTCTCACACACTAACGTAGTTAATTTTTGGACAAATTTCCTATTAATTTGCATTGAGAAGTTACAGTAAGTTCCTGACTTACCAATGAGTTCTTTCTGGGAGAATATTCATAAATCTAATTCATTTGTAAGTCTTACACCTTTGACACAAATACACAGTGTACATATGTTGGTTCTGCGCTTCCCAGCAGTCTCCTCTTCTGCTTTTCCCCTTGCTTCCAGACATCATGGGCTCTGATTGAGCCCTGTACCACTGTACACTATCACACTGTACAGTAAGAACACAGCACAACTGTGGCAATGTCCAACAGAGACATGAGCTACTTCTGTGATTTGTTCCATCTACAAATGTTTGTAATGTGAGGTCCATTCATATCTGAAAGATTGTGACTCATATGTTCCTAAGTCAGGGACTTACTTTATTTGTGGTGAAAGATGGGAATAAGTTAACATCTTTCACAAAGATGTAATTCACCTTTTCAAGTGTACAATTCATTGATTTTTTTTAAAAACATAATCAAATTGTGCAACAATCTTCAGGAATTGTGTAGAACATTTCATTTACTCATTATGATCTCTTAAGAGCATTAACACTGAATTCCCATTGTCCCCATTCAAGGCATGTTAATCTGCTTTCTGCCTAAAATCTTGCCTTTTCTGTAAATTTCAAAGAAATGAGATAATACTTAGCTTTTTGTATCTTTTTTTTAGCATGATTTTGAAGTTTGTGTGTTTTATAGCATGTACCTGTAGCTCCTTCTCATTAGTTAATTTTATTATACTTTTAGTATGCTTTATCAATACATTCATCTCTTTACAATTTATGAATATATTAATATTTTTGCCAGTGTTGATTATTGAGTGTTCTAAGATTCATTGTACAACTTTGTAATATAGCATAAACCACTGAATTGTACACTTCAAATGGATGAATTGTAAGGTATCTGTGTTATATCATTTTTTTTTCTTTTCTTTTCTTTTCTTTTTTTTGGACTGGGGATTGAACTCGGGTCCTTGCACTTGCAAGGCACGCCACCGAACCGCTGAGCTAAATCCCTGGCCCAGTATTATATCTTAATAAAGCTATTAAAAACATGATACATACAATGTGAACATTTGTAGAAAATTTCAGTAGCGTAAAATATTATAGAGAAGAAAAGAAAAAGTAATCTGTACTCTAGCTGTTCCTATGTCAGTTATTGTGGAGATAGAGCATCATTTTAAGTGACAGCCTGTTTCATTGAATAAATATATAAGAATTTAATTTCCTTATAATTGGGCATTTCAGTTGTTGTCAATAGTATTATAATACATATATTTTTGTGCAGTTGTCTTTTCAGGGTAAATTCCAGAACTGAAGTTGTTGGTTCAAAGATTAAATGCATTTAAAATTTGAATTGTATTTCTAAACTGCTTTGCAGTAAGATGCTTCAGTTTGTCCTTCCCTCATGTACGTGGTAACTGTCCATATCACCATACTCAGGACATTGAATAGTTTTGGTATTTGCTGATTAGTAGGATATTAACTCATTCTCATTTGTGTTTCTTTGTACAATTTGTCTACATCCTTTTCCAAATTTTTTTTTTTTTTTGGTACTGCGATGCATTTGTGAGGCAGGCCACTTTTTTCCAAAATTTTTGTTGTGCATATATTTTGTCTTTTTAAAAATTGGGGTAAAAATCTATTTTGTATCTTTATGTTAATATCTAGAAAGTCTTTTAATAATATTTTCTTTGGTCTATTTCGAGTTTATTTTTATTTAATATTTATATTTGTTTCATATTTTTCCCACACAAATTTAACATTTTTTGTGTAGTGTAGAGATATTTATTGCTTAAAAGTATCCTTGGTAACTTGGGTATATTATATGATTATAAAAATATTGTTTTTCACAGATTTTACTTTGTATATTTAAATTACTTCCATTAATTTTATATTTATTTCAAATAATACAAGAAGGGGAAAAAAGAGTCTGGGAATATAGCTAATTGTTCAATCACTTGCCTAGCATGTGTTGAGACTAAGAGTTCCTAGCATGTGTGAGGCTAGGGACCCTAGCACTGAAAAATAAAAACAAACAAAAAACTAAAAGAGACCCACATTATTCTTTTATAAATTTTTGTCATTGTCAGATGCTAAATTATTAATGAGCCTACAATTTTAGTAAATTTTTTCTTATGCCACTGCCACACTTTTATTACGGTTTTAAATAATTCATTTAACTCCCATAAGCAAGCAGAGTGAACAAGACAAGCAGCACCCCTGTCCTTTGTGAGTCAGTCAACCATCACTGGATGAGTAGTGTCCCTCCCTGTCATGAGCAAGCAGGCCTGAACAGGATGTGAGGTGCCCCTGATAGAACGATGTGACCCCCACTAACTCCAAGCTGGCTCTATATTTTGCTTCCCCATAGCATGAGGTAACAGAGGTGAAAACTAACATGATCCTGGGCGAGGACAACACTTGGAGAGAGAAGGGAATGACCAGATCCCACAGCTGCAAACTTTTAATTCCAACACCCCAATTGAACCTCCCACCCTGTAGCTTACATCTAGGAGACACCAGAGGGTTGATCTCATTTCCCATCTACCAATGGAAGCAAGGATATTCTTTGGCTTGAACAGTCATCACAGTCTGGGGTAATGGAGAGAGGCACCTCTGGTGCAATGGAGGGCACATCAAAAACCCACGGGTCCTAATGCTGGGCATAGAAAATCATGGCTGGCTGGATCATAAGCCTGCAGATTTTGGAAAGAAACCACACATTCAATAACAGTAATTTTTCTCTGATTTCAATGTTTAATTTTTTTTTCAGCTTTAATTGAGTTCATTGGTAAATTTTAGGGGTACAGTACAGTTACATTCATTGTTGGGATCTTGTACTTCTACATGACAGGTCTTGGTTCTCATTTTTTCCCCTTGTCCCTGACCTCCCTACACCCCCCCCTCCCCTCCCCATATACAAACACTTTATTTCCATCTTTTCATTATCTCACATTTTTTTCTTTTTCCTATTAACCTTCCCCTACCCATCCCACCTTCCCTACACCTTTAGCGTATTTTTTTAAAATTATTTTTATCTTTCCTTCAGGTGTTGGTTTCAGGATTTTTTCCCCTCTGGTGTTAGTTTCTTTTTTCTCTTTCCATTTCAGATGTCTTTTCTTTTCCTCATCTTTTGTTCTTTCTTTCTTCCTCCTCCCCTCCCTTTTTTTCCCCTCCCCTCCTGTCCCCTCCTCTCTTCTTTGTGTGGTGTGATCCGGGACTGAACTCAGGACCTTGCACTTGCAAGGCAGGCAGCAGCACCACTGAGCTAAATCCCCAGCCTTCCTTATCTTTTTAAAAAATTCTTATCTTCATTCTCTGTTTCTTTTTTGTTCTTTCCTGCAACTCTTCTCTATTACTATTAATTTCCCTTCACTTCTCAATAGGACTCTCCATCTCACTTTTCTGTTTTCCTCTATATAGCCCATTTATTACTTTTTCAAAGTTTGCATTTTTATACTCTGGTTCCCCACCCCTTCTACTTTTACTAGCATATCTAGCTATCTACTTAATGTTATGCTATTACTGTCACATTGTATTGTTAATAGATTTAAAGTTGCATTTAGTAGATATTATAGGTCAATATTAGGCCAATATTTGGTTTGTCTTAGTGATTATATTTATAGATCTCTCTTTTAAAGTTAAGCATGGCACTTTATTGATCCTTGGGCTTGTCAGTATTCA